CCGCCGCCCCGCGGCGGGCCGCCCCCTCCTTTCCTTATGGGCCCCCCGCCTGGCATGAGGGGCTTCAGCGCCCCTTCGCCGGGCATGAGCCCGGCCCAGGCCTCGGCCCTCAGCCTGCCCGAGCCGGCCGCCAGCGGGAACGGGAGCGGGGAGCAGCCCCGGCTGGGGGGGCTCCTCCTGCCTCCCCCGAGGAACGCTACCACCACGACCGCTGCCTCTACCCTCAACCTGCCCCCTCCTGTCTCGGCTTCTGCTGCCCTGCCCGGGGCTGGGGTGGATTTGAGCCTCCCCAAGCCAAAGAAGAGGACGGAGCCGGTGCGGATCACGGTGCCCGAGTTGCACAAGGGAGATGTGAGTATGAAGCAAACCACCAGCTCAGCTGGGGGGGACCCCATCAAGCCCTCCCGCGAAGGAGAGCCTTCGTGGGTGAAATCCTCTCCCCGGCTCAACTCCCCCTTGGATCCGTTTGCCCATAAAGCACAGCGTCTCTTTCCTCCCTCTCTCCCATCATAATATAGCAAGGTACCTATTGTTGTGGCACCTACGGGGAGATTTGTCCCGCCTGCCAGCCCTAATCCTAAGGCGCTTTGCATAATTAAACTGATATAGAAACCTTATTTATAATCGTAATACAGCAAAACCTAGATTATCTGCACCCTGATTTATTACTGAAGTTAACGGGTTGATGATGTGGGGCTGTATGGCCTTGCGTGGGGCTATCCCAAAAAAGTCTCTTTTTTTTTGTTTGCTGTGCAATTGATAGATTTTTCCTGTCAATTTATTGCTTATTTATCTAAAGGCTTTAGGCATCTTCCAGACCTTTAGGTAATCATTTCCCTCTTAGCTTGTGCTTTTTCGTGTTTGTAGTGCCCTGTGCCTTACGGGGCTCCTGAGCACTGAATCCAGACAGCCCTGTGGCAAGAGCAGGGAAAGGCAGGTCCGTGCCCCCCTTTTTTTTTTGCTGGGTGTCCCCATCGACCAGCTTTCCTTCTCTCCCCTCTGCTCCGTCACTCTGGGACGGTACTGTCATAGCGTGGAGGTGAGGGTCGCCTGACTGCGGCGGTACCTGGCCTCGGTCACTGGTTCTGGTGAGACATGAGTACCTCTGGCTGTAGGAAGAGCTGAAGTGCAAAGCTTTGGGTCTTTTCCATGGGGACAGGTAGCTTGAGGAAGAGGTTCGACTGGATGGATTTATAAAAAACGTCAATTAATAGTGGTCTGCCAGCGTCTTGGGCCTGGAGGAGCTGAAACGAAGTCAGCGCATCTCGCTTTGCTGGAAGAGCAGTCTGCAGGGGCTTGGGGGGAGCGGGTGGGAGGCTGCGGCCGTCCCTGAACCACACTCTGCTGCTCGCCGATAACCAGCCCGATTTGGCAAATCCCAGAGCCAGGGCTCCTCACGCCACGGCTCCCAGAGGCACACCAGGCGGTGGGACGGACGGGTTCCCCTTTTAGGCAAATGGACGAGGGATATCCCAGTCTCTCGTAGCCTCTTTTTGCTTACTCACTTTCTTGCAGTGCTTTGGAACAGGCGCATCGTAATAAAGCAAGCGTTAGGGCTCTTCTCTTCCTCGCTGGTTGTACGGTTACGGAAATAAGCTCAAATGAAAGGAAATTTGTTCCTCCCCTTTATCTCCCGCTCTGTGTTCCAGTGTATTGGCTTTGAACAGAAATACCGCAGGTTGTCAGCGTCAAGCGAGTGAATGAATGTTGAAGGCAGAAAAAGAACCGTAAAACCGGAGCTGAACCGAGCGGTTCCCGTTCGGGACTCCTGGAAGTCCCTTGGCCTGTGACCAAGTCCTCGCTCGCTCCCCCTTTTTCCTTAAAATACCTCCTGTCCCTTTTGCTTGCACCTGCGGAGCCGCTCCTGGGCAGTCTGCTTTATCTCCTCCCTCCCAAATGTAACACGCGGGTTTTATGGCAACTCTCGACTTGCCTTTATTTATGCGTGTTCTTTGTCTTCGTCCTGTTTTATAATTTAGACAGTAAACTGGCAGAAGACCTTGTTTCCTGTAATCTCTTTAAAGTGCTCTGCAAAGCTATAAAACGATAAAGATGTTAAAGGCCTTTTCTGGTGCCAGAGACGACCAGACTTTCTACTCAAGTTTTAAATGGATATTTAGCGACTCCGACGTTATTGTGAACGATTCCCTGTTAAGCCCCGCAGTGAATTTTTACACCCTTGCTTTGGGTGGTTTTGTGCTCCCCCTCCATGAACGTAATGTTGTCTGTTACTTTGAAAGAGCGCGCTGACCTTATGCCGTGCAGCTTGTGTTCTTTGCCTTGCTTTAGGTTTGTTTTCCTGTGAGTTATTAAAAAAAAAAATAAATGCGTTTGAGCTGTTGGCTCTCTAAATGCTAATTCCTGGCAGGAACCAAATATGTAGAAGCTGAGTTTCTCTGCCCACCCACTCTGCTTTAGAGCAGCATTAAAAAGCCGCCTTGAAAATTAGGAATTTTGGGTTAGCGAATCCTTTTTTTTTTTTTTTTTAAGTTCCGTAAGTTGTGTAAATGAACTCAAGTGGGAGATGATTATTTGGCTGTGGAGGGTTGGCTCTTACGAAATTTTTAAGAGGCGATGCTGACTTGTTTGCAAAGCTTCAGGTTTTACAGAACGCAGCTTATTTTTCTGCCCGGACCGCGGCAGACCCAGCAATCTCTAAATATAGCAGCAAGCGCTGTGGTCCTGCTTTCACTGTGGACAGTTTATTTATCTCTCGTAGTAGTAACCAGAGCAGGCTTTTATCTCCCTTTGCCCTGACATAGATGCATCAGCAAGACTGTGAAAAAGGGCTTGACTGCATCCCACTGTTGCTTTTTAGCTCGGCTCTTGGCAGATTATAAATCCAGATCTGTGTTACCGTGATTCTTTGGCTGGTTCAAACTGAAAATTAATAAATTGCATGATGGGTAGGCTTTTTTCTTTTAGTTTAATATCTCAGGTTGTGCTAAGCTCTGTTTTTCTTTCTCAGTCAGATTCAGAGGAAGATGAACCAGCAAAGAAGAAAAATCCTCTTCAGGTAAATACCTGGGATGTTCAATTAAACAAGTTTCACAGGAAAGAAGCATTTGGCTGGGCCAGTTCTTGGGCTTCCACTAGTGTAAATCAGCCACTCGGATCAGCGCGTGGCTTTTAGTGCATAAAATTCCTGAAATCCCCTGGGGTGTCAAGTCCTTTTTTTGGGGGGTAATTTCATAAAGTTAAATCTCAGAAAAATAGGCATTAATTTCGGAAGTTGGCAGGTATTTGCAAGTACCACGTTTCCCTTAAAAATCCCACTGGCCTGTTGTGCAAGAAAACCCTGCAGCGGGTTCGAAGTAGCGAACGATTGTGCTGAGCAATGGGGAACCCATTAATGTTGTTAGAATTGGAGGAGATAATTGGCAGGGAGTCAGAAAAACTAAATAGTCTCACTCATCTCTCTTATTTCTGTGAACCATTTGCCCTGCATGAAACTCACCAGGGACGCGGCGAGGGCTCTGGCTTGTCCGCTTTGCTTCCTCAACCCAAAAATTTGACAGTGAAAGAGACCAATCGGTTACTTTTGCCCTACGCTTTCTCGAGGAAAGCAGGAGAAAATGCCTCTGACTCAAAGCCCGCTAAGGCCCCGACCTCTTCCTCCAAAACCAAACCTCTGTCCAAGCCAGCGGTGCCCACGACTCCTTCTCCGTCTGCTATCAAAGCTGCTGCGAAGAGCGCTGCCCTGCAGGTAACCAAGCAGATCACGCAGGAAGAGGACGACAGCGACGAAGAAGTCAAGCCAGAGAACTACTTCTCCTTGTCCGACGGGAACGAGACCAGCGTCGTGGGTGCCGAAACGTACATGTACTCTGGCACGGTGGTGTCGGAGGACCCACCGCCCGGGACAGAGACAGAGCCCCAATTCCAGGACGCTGCTGCTAACGCCCCTCTGGAGTTCAAGACGGGCGCGGGCTCCAGCGGTGCTCAGCACAGCTGGGCGCCCAAACCCGGACCCCCCCAGCCGTACAGCCAGTTCCCTGCCTACAGCGAGGCCGGCGTGGCTGGTGCTTATTATCAGGTGGGTTCACTGACCAGGAGGTGAAGCTTGATGCTGCCGCTCTGAAAAGGCGTCTAGGACGAGCGGCTCCGAATTAGTTACTGGAGCGGGCTGTGCCTTGTGGGAATCTAACCCGTCTGAGCGAGCTGGGACGAGGAGCAGAGATCCACAGCACTTAGCACAACAGGATTCCTCTGGCATGAGAGCCGCAGATGCTCTTTGCTGGATAAATGTTTAATAGCTGCACTCATTTTAAAAAGCCCCTGTGCAACTGCCCCTGTTTGTTGTCAGGGTGCAGAACTGGGGCTCGCCAGAGCTGGTGTTTGAAGCCAGGTTGTTTCTAGTAATTCAGCAAAGTATTTGGTGTTGAGTACCTCTGAAAAAACGCCCTGCGCTCTTCAGTAGTGCCAGAGTGACGAGAAGCAATTAATGACTGCTTCGGTCAGCCTTGGGAGGAGCGCTGTACTCCCCGGAGGCTGAGCAAAATCCCTCTGGGTGAAAAAGCAGCAGCTCACGGGGTGAGGTACGAGATTCAGTGCTGCATCTCGGGGCCTCCGTATATGGTTGCTCCAGGATCGATCTTGCTTCGCTCTCGTGACAAACTGGTTTCCCTTTTGCTGACAGGATTACTACAGCAGCGGGTACTACCAGGAGATGGAACCAGCCCAGGCACCGCCGCAGGAGATGAGCACCGACTCCTCCTTCATAGATGACGAAGCGGTTGGCACTTTTCTGTCTATCCCGCTGCGGAATTTGCGTTTAAACTTGGCTAGAACATCGGACCTGCTTAGCAGCCGCAGTCCTGCCCCACTGGCACGACCCGTGCTTCGTGCCGAGTTGGACGGGGTGGTTGTTCCATGGGGTCTAGCGCTGTGTTGTGGACATGCGTGGCATCCGTCCAGCGGTCTGTTGGGCTGCTGCTCCAGACGGGTTTGCTTCCTTCATAAGTAGATGACGTTTGTTATTTCCACCAAGCCCAGTCTCATTCTCGTGAAGGGTATCTAGGGCAGACAAGGTGCATGGAGCGAAGTTGTCGCTTGCTGAGGTGCAGATATCTTCACAGTACCTCCTCTAGTGAATTCCCCACTTATTTCAAATGCTCCAAAACCTGTTTTAAAAAAACCCTTCCCCATTCTTGATCTAATCTAGAAACTGCCAGCCTCGTTAGCTGAGCCAGTCAGTGCTGCAGAAGACAGGAGCCCATCTGGTGCTCGCCTCTTCGAGGGACCTCTTTGCTTTGGAGGTGGATTTGCGTTATGGGAGGTGGATGTGTTAGCAGCAAAGCTTCAGGTGCCTCCCTAGCACTTAAAACGAGAGACCCAGGAGCCCGAGGGTCTTCTGAGCCAGACTGAAAACAAGAGTAAATGTTGTTTAAATGCATGGGAAAATGAGATTATAACCTTCGTGCTAAGTAGTTTTAAGATATTCTGAACTATAGCAAAGCAGAACTCTCCTAAAGAAAAAAATCTTTGTTGATGTGGCCTGTCCCGTGCTGGGGGAGCTCAGGCTCGGACCCCATCTACCTCTACTCGCTTCAGGTTCGCGTTGGTGCGTGATGTGCCTGTGTAACTCCCGTTGTTTCTGTTCCTCTTTCAGTTCAAACGTCTGCAAGGCAAGCGGAATCGAGGGAGGGAAGAGATCAACTTTGTGGATATCAAAGGTGACGATCAGCTGAGCGGAGCCCAGCAGTGGCTGACCAAATCCTTAACGGAGGAGAAGACCATGAAATCGTTCAGCAAGGTACGGGCAGGAGGGGAGGAGTGCCGGCTGGGATTTTGGAGGCCTCTGTTCCGTTCCCGTTTCGACTGCCGCTGGAGCTGTGTTAGATGCTATGCAGTCACCAGGGCAGGGGGGACAGGGACCCTTGCGTGTTGTATAAATAATTACAGAGGAGAGACCAGGAGAGCTTCTCAAAACGTAGTCCCAGCGTGCAGGTGGTAAAGAGCAGCCAGGAACTGCTTCAGCCTAAGGAATCTGCCCAGAGCTGTTTAATATGAAACAAATGCTTCCTGAAATGGCTTTGTGCAAGCTCTTGTCTTGTTTCGCTCTCTGGGTCAGTATCTTTCCGGGCTTAACGGTTCACCTGCTTTTGCTTTCTAGAAAAAAGGAGATCAACCCACGGGACAGCAAAGGAGAAAACACCAGATCACGTACCTGATCCATCAGGTGAGTGGCCTCTGTCTAGCGTGGAAACCGATCCAGGCAGAATTACAAGGGGCGATGCTTGGCAGCACGAGGCAGAGCTGGCGGAGCCGCTCCTTCAGCAGCCGGGGACCGGGGGCTGTCCCTGACTCGGAGCGCCCCGAGCCGCGGGTGAGACCTGCGGCGGCTCTGACAGGGGGGACAGCAGCGGTGGCCATGCTGCGGGAGCGTCCTGGCCACCGCCGGCCCAAACAGCCTCGTGGCAGCAGCGCCTTGGCCCCGGGGGTGTCATGGCACTGAGCTGCTGGCTTGCTTTTTGCTTTGCTTCGCTCTTCCCCTCCCGCCCAGCGCCGGTGTGCGTGCGGTTTATGTGTTACGAGACTCTCTGCTTCCCGTCTTAATTCCGCACCGCTGCCGTGTGGTTAGTAAGCGGCTGCCGAGGCCGTCCCACAAGAAAAGCTGTGTTTCAGTGCGAATGAAATGCCCGTGCATCCCGATTAATTCAGGCCTCTGTCAAGATAATTGTGCTAACTCCTGTAACGAGGCTTCTCGCTGAAACGCTCTGTAATCCCCGTCAGCAAGGGCAGAGGAGGGTGAAATTCTGCTGAGTCAGTGAGCAGCAGCACTGATGTTAATCCTCTCAATTTCTGCAGGCAAAGGAAAGAGAACTGGAACTGAAAAACACGTGGTCTGAAAACAAGCTCAGCCGACGTCAGACTCAAGCCAAATACGGATTCTAACACCTCTGTCCCGCTTTTTGGCTCTTGTCCCAGGTGACCTACTGTGTCAGACTTCTCCTGGCCTTCTGGAGAGCAACCAGGCCCCGTGCAGAACGCGGTCTGCTCGGCGGGTGGGAGGATCCCGCGCTCCCCTGCCTGTCAGGAGAAAGGTTTCGTGCAAACCGGTCCCGAAACTCCACCTGTAATCTTTCCCCTCCCTCCTTAGAAACGATCATGTGGAAGGTTCGAATCCCGCCTGTTTTGTACGGCCCACGGCAGCCCCGAGGCGGCCGCAGGGAAGGTGCCTGGTGCAAGGCTCGGAGCTGTTGTCCTGTAGGCGCAGGGGCTGCGCCTCCTTCGACGTAGCCTCGCCGCTGGAACCTTAGGCAGAGTCTCAATAAACTTCCAATTCCCGCTTTGCTCCTTTCTCGGACTCGCTGTGCGTTGAGAGTGTAATTTTTCTTTCTAAAAGACAGTGAGTTTCAAGAGCAAGCTTGGCTTTATTTTTTTTTTTTGTCCTTTTATTTGAGACGTCCTCATGGCTGCTTACTCACGTCCGAGTAAATCCAGTGCTCCTCTCCCGCAAATGATCTTGATTTTTCTTTTTTGTTTTTAAGTGTGGCTAAGCTAGTGTTTTTGTTCTCAGCTCCACCACCCTGTCTGTCTCGAACAGTGCTGAGGGGAAACTCCTTTACAGGTCAGAGCTTGCAATAGAGGTGAAAACGCCCTGAGTGTGGAACGCACAAAAAAAGCAGTGAGGATCTCTTGCCCAGCACCAGCCGCTGCTGAGGGCTTTTGGATAAGCGCGATCGATGTGTGTATGTACATTTCTCTTCCTTTTTTTTTCCCCCCCCTCTTTCCTCCTCCTCCTCCCCCTGACCCAAGGCCTGCAGGCCGCTCTCCAGACTTGTTGAACCGAGTATTCCCAGCGCCGCACGGTGCCGTGCAGCTGGCAGTGAGCTCGCCAGTGAAGCAGCAGTATTTCCTCGGAGCAGACGCAGAGGAAAGCTGCCAACTGTACATTTTTTTTTTTTTTTTTCCTTCCAGCTTGTTTGTATCAATTCTGTTTCAATTAAGTGTTAACTTTACCCTCCTGGCTGGGAAGAGGAGACCGTGTCCGGCCTTAACTTTTTAAAATGAAATCTTTCTTTTATTTAAGGTATTAGGTCTAGGCGATACGACTGCAAATCATGTGCAGCCTTGCTGGCCAGACCCCCCTATCTTTAGGCAAATCTCTGTGGCCTCCCTCAGTTTGTTATTCACCAAAACGCGTGATGCCGAAGGGAACAGAGAGCTGGTCTGGTTATTTCATTTACATTCCCACCACTAAGGGTTTTATTTGTTGTAACCGCAGCTAAAACAGCTAATATTTGTTATTCCATTTGGAAAAAACGCCGAGAGGTGGTTTTTCTCCCACGTTACCTGTTAAAAACAAGCAAACAAACCCCCAGGAATGAAGTCTTTTCTTAGAATATTTTAAAATAATCTGATTTCTAGTTTAGTTCCCTGGATGTTTTAGTACTTTGCAGAGCCCATTTTGAGTATTTGAATGACCAGAATAAAGTTACTGTTGAGTAATTTATTCATATCTTATATGTACAGTGAAATCCTCTGAAAAGAGATTTGATAAAAGGAATAAACTTTTAAATGAACCGAACCACACCTGTTTCCACCGCGAGGTGCTCAACTCCTGGCTCGAGGCGTTGGGTTTGTTTTTATTTTTCCCCTTCTCCCCGGGAAGGCGGAAGCACCTTCGCGGCAGCCCGCCTTTCGGCAACGCCTGCCTCAGTTTATTCGCAGAGCGGACGCTTTGCCCCAGCGTCGGAGGCAGGAGGCTGCGTCCCCCGGCAGACCGCGCGCTCCCAAACTCCTCTTCCGCGGCCTTGGTGGGATCGTGGAGCTCTGGAGCCGGCCCAGAGGCTGAAGCTCTCGGCTTCCCCTTTTCCCTCTCCGTTTCGCTGTGTAATGGCTCATTTTTAGCACTAGAGGGGAGTTACGAGGATGGGAATCGACTCCTGCTCTGCTTTTAGCCATTTAAGAGCAACAAAATGTAGCTTGTGGAAAGCAAAAGGGGTTCTTTCCGAGAGATAAAAGAAAACCACCCCCCCCCTCAGCCCTCCTTTGTCCCTCCCTGTCTTGGAGCTCGCAACGCGTCCGAGTGTGGGGCTTCGCTCGTCCTCCTCCGCGTTCTGCTCCATTTAAGGCCAGGCGCGCCAGCTCTGCTGCGAGAGCGACCGCGGCTCGGGCTCCTTTCGGACAAAACGATGGGAGGCCGGGGTTTAGCACGCTGCTGGGCAGCACCGGGCTTGGTGTCACCGCCCCGGCAACCGAATTTGGTCCTCGGGGTTGGTGCTGTCGGGTGTTTTGAAACAGGCAGGGCTTGGAGGTGCCAGCACCGCGCTCGTGCTGTTTGGTGCTAGGCTGCGGTATCGCTCCGGCTCGTGGCCAATTTAATATCCGACTCCGGATGAACCAGCCGTGCCTGAAACCCATCTCTGGTTTTACTGTAATAGCCTTTTCCGCCCTCGTTCTATTAATAGAAAACTCCTTCTGAATGTGTTCAAAGATAAATTAAATCTGTTCCCCTCTTAACTGTCTCACAGGGCTTGGGAAGCGGGCTGCTGCGTCGGGAAGGGCGTGGGAATCCCAGCACGGAGTGGACCGGTGTCGCTGGTACGGCTGGGGCGCTGGTCGTCTGCGGAGGGGCCAACCGCGGCCTCGGACCTCTCCTCCCGGGATTCTTGGGGCGCGAAGGAGCCCGGGAGCTTCCTTCTGCCTGGGGGGTGTGAGCTGGGAGCTGGGTCTTGTCTCAGACCTACCTGCGCGGGCGGCTTAGGGATGGTCTCCGGAAAGCTGCTCGTAAATGTTCTCGGGGCCCGCCCGCGTGGCCGCGGCTCGCTTTGCGGTGCTCGTCCTCCCGCCGTAGAGGGGATCGTTGAACTCCAGGGGAGGGTTCTGGGCGATCCGCAGGGAGAGCTGAAGGGAAACGGCGGTGAGATCGGGTGGAGGTTTGACTTGAGAGCCAGGACGTGGCTGAAAGTTGGTCCTTCGCCCTCCCAGTCCTCAATTTTTGCTCCCGCTTTGGCTGTGAGTTGGGGATGGTCGCTCCAAGCGGAGCCCTGGGTGGGGGACCCCCTTCTCCTCCCCGTCACCCTGGCGTGGAGCAAACCCCGACCCACCAGACTCGACGGGACGTCTGGCTGAGACGTCGCCTTGGCGCTGAGCTCTAGAGCAACGGGTGGCTCTACAACATCACCCGCGATGGGGAACGCACCTCCGCGGCCGGGCCGCAGCCTCCTCTCTCCTTCCCGTCTCCGGTGGGAGCTACCGGGAGCTGCCGCCTCTTGGAGGCCTGGCTGGAAATGCTGCGGAAGAGCCGGTGGTGAGCACGGGATTTGGGAGGCAGCGTGGAGAAGGCGCCTGGGGCTCCCCTGGGGAGCGGAGCGGGCAGGTCCTGCCGGGCCAGCGCCACCTCGGAGTAGATGTTCTCCTCGGGGCCGGCGCTGGGGCTGGAGCCCCGTCCCACGGCGTAGAAGGGGATGGGCTCTTCCAGCTCGCAGTAGGTGGAGGCTCTGGGTGCGATGCCCTCGTGGGGCTCGGCGTAGGTGTGGAAGCACATCAGCTGCTGGTACTTGGCATCGGCCGGCTGGGGCGGCACGGGCGGCGCGGCGGGGACGGCTTCTTGGCGCACCTGAGCGTAGGGATCTTCGGGAGCTGCTCTGCCGCCGGCGGGGCTGTGCGACCCCTGAGCCACGGCCGAGGAGCTGGCCTTGGCTGGGAGCGGCGGGGGGACGCTGGGAGCCTGGGGAAGAGACGGGACAGGGCGGTGGGAAGGGCTGGAAGCGGGTCCGGATCCGTGGTGACTTGGGGCCGCGTCCCCTGTCCCGGCTGCATCCCTCCGCCTCATGAGGGCTTTGCCCAGGCTGCGGCTTCTGTCCTTGGGAAAATGCCTCCATCCCCTCCCCTCTGCCCTGCCTTTACCTTGGCGCTGGGCTCCGTGGGCAGCGGGGGGGCCGCGGCCACCTGCCTGGCTCCCAGCGGCCCCTTGGTCACGGTGCCGTACGCCGGGAGCTTTGCTGGGGCTTCGCTCGACGGGGAGCGTGCAGCGTCGCCGCTGGCTGGGGTCCGCGTCCCTCCCTGGGCCTCGTCTTCCTGCAACGAGGGGTGAGGGGGTGGGTGCGTGGGCCCGGGCAGACCCAGCCGGGTGCTGGTCCCACCTTGGGTGTGCTCCCCGCGGTTCGGCTCCTCATTCCCGGCCAGGAGCTGCACCACAGCCAAGGTGGCTCCGGTGCCAACCCCAGCTTTGTTTTTGCCCAGCCGCGACGCTTCGGCTTCACTTGGCTTTGATTTCCCCAGCTTGGGGAACAC